CTCATAACAACCTATGCTGAGACAACGCCCATGACGTGTGATCCGGTACCGCTACCGCACTGCGTGCCTGTGCCCGCCGTGAGCCGCTAGTGCATGGGTTCGACCATGAGAATATGTGTTTATGTTGCTTTTTATACTATAGTTTATACGTTGAAGTGACGAATTGTTTATTTTTCGCAAGCCTCCGCTGTCCGGTTGCCTGCAGCTCCATGCAACGCCAGCTGTACTGTTGTTTTAATGTTGTCTCTCCGCTCAGCTGTACTGTTGCCTCTCCGCTCATATATGACACCCTCTATATGAATGGCACTACTGATTGTCACACCCACTGTCCGTATTGTCCGTAGTGGTGTCTACGCCCATGTTAATACAGCGTGCAGAATCCAGATTCTATTGAGGAGAGTTGAGCCAAGTCACCATAGGATCGGGAAGAGAGCAACGTGGAGGCCCACTGCCCCTTCCCCGGCCCCCACTGGGGGCGCCATCCACTCCAACTTTTGACTGGATGTTAAGAGCGTCGCCACGAGGGGAACGAGTCGCCGGCCAGCCAAGGTAGCCAACGGCGTGTGAAGGTTGCCTGACCTCGAGGAAACTGAGATGGCACCAACGGAGGTTTTGTTAAGTAGGCGACCAAAATTCGAGCGGCAGCAACCTGGGCACCTTCACAGATAGCAGTGCCGCGTATCAGGGCGCCTTCGACGTTGAGCTGGGCGCCGATCATCAGGACGCCGGGGGAGTATGACCCAATATCCCCCGTAAATATGTGCCTCGGAAGGGAGACCCAACCATAAAACTGAAAGCTCGCCGTATTTTATCCACTATTTTTCGAGCAGGTCCATAGATTTACGCCCTCAAAAGTGCGGGGATATTCCCCAGTGTTTGAGTTGGATGGGACTATAGTGGCGTTTACACCGACAGGAGATTCCCATTGCCGGCTGTGGGAAACTACTGTCGGTGTAAACGCCATTCATATTTCCTGCCTCACCCCTGTGGGGACGCCCTTGCTCCATGGTGCCGAGCTTATCAATTTGGATATCAATGGAATCAAAATCTCTTATCGATCGATGAAGAACTAAATTACCCCGACCCGGAGAGCGTCTTTGGAATCAAAGCAGTAGCACATGACGTAAGACTTCAGGCAAATAAATCCTTCTTGTCTGAAATAAAACATTTGTGTATTGATAAGCACGTTTTATAAGCAATGGTAGCAAGATTCTCTATGTATTTGGTTAAAGTGATAATTTAGTAGCAGATACTTACCGTCGCATTTCGTTTTTTTTAATTAATAATTTATATTGTCAGAACTAGCAACATGTCTCTTCACTCAACAATAATTACAAAGTGAAAAAGAAATGATAAATTGCTTATATTTTGGTGAAACTAAAAATTAATTCAGCACATATTTTTTTTACAGCGTTGAAGTCCAGCTCCAAAGGACAGCTGACGATCGTAGCCGAGCAGGCTGTTTGGTACTTCTTCACTACTTCTTAGAAGTACCCGTTAGTACCGATCATGTCTCACATAATAAGCTATTGGAACAAAAATACCCATGTTCTTCTAATTATTCTCCTTTAACACTTTAAATAAATACTTTTGAAATGCATTTACTAATTAATTTCACAAAAACGGCTTAAAATTTTACAACGTCAAAATACTTATTCCAATATCCACCATGAAACCACCACTATATTACTTGCTTACAGAACCGTGCGCACAGTGCGCGCAGTTTTATCGTGACGTCAGAGGGTGCTTCCTCAGTGGCGCCCCCTGGCGGGGAACGCGTGCAAAAAGTCCAGCTCTTAGGCATGTCCGACCTGAGGAGCTATAGGGACTTGAGCTTTCCAAAACTCAATTTCTAAGGGCACTGAGCAGTGTTTGGCTTTCACACGAATGCGATAGTAAGTTATATGAAGTTGACAAAGCAAGCAAAGCAAAGCATGATGCCCCGCGCGTCCGCCCGCGACCACGCCCCGCGTCCGACTCCCAACCGCCGCGTGACCCGAGGCGCCCGGCGGTCACGTGACCTACCGGCCGGGACTGCAAACGGCCTTCACCACCATTCTTGTATGACGTCATATCCTACTGAGGTGCTGATTGGTCGGAATTAGATACCTGAAGGTAATTATCTGCCGTAGTTATTTTTGTTTCATTGTTTTGCGTGTTTTCTTATATGAAATGTAATTAAAAAATTTGCCATATTTTAATCACCATTAAAACATAACTGAATAGGTATGAAAGAGAACTCGATATATACTTTCCTTGTTTTTAAGAATTCCGGAATTAGATACCCGAGGGAGCAAAGAGGGAGCAAGTTGCTACGCTGATTTGATACCTCATAGTCGAAAGGTGGGCTACTAGAACCGAAAATTGCTGTGTTTGTAAATAAACCAGTAAAACGCCTTTTGGGCGAAGAACGAGCGAGCGAGATAGTGAGCCCTGCACGTGCGGAAGGGCGAGAGGGTGCTTCCAACGGGCTTGCGCAAAGCACCCTTCTAACCGGTCGCTAGCGGTGTGCCAAATTTGAACGCAATCGGCCCAGCCGTTCCTGAGATCTGGAAGCGGCATTCTGCACGTGCGCACGTGCAAACGGGGTCCAAAATGACTTTTGCACGGCACCCTACTAACTGGTCCCCAACCGTGTACCAAATTTGAGCGCAATCGGCCCAGCCGTTCTCGAGATCTGGAAACGCCCCCTGCACGTGCGCACGTGCAGTAGCACCCTAACCGCAACACATGGGAATGCATTGCCTGGTGGGTGCCTACCTGTATGCCAAGTTTCAGCGAAATCGCCCCAGTAATTACCGAGTTACTGAAATGGGAACAAATTTGGCACCTCTTATTGTTGTATTTTGCACGTGCACTGGGGGGACCCACATGCATCGAGAGTATCCTATTTTGGGTAGAAGGGATGCTGCTACCCTACAAAAATTACCGCAAGTCAATCGCCCAAGCGGCTGCTGAGATGTGAGCCTCCCAAAATCACTACTTTTGCAAAACAGCTTGAACACCCTTGACTTTTCACGTGGCACGTGCCACGACGGTCACTGAGATGTATCAAAAGTAGTCAATTACGGGGTAGAAGGGATGGGGCTACCCAACAAAAAAGACCGCAGGCCAATCGGTCCAGCGGTTGCTGAGATATAAGCCTCTCAAAAGCGTTACAGGCCGGGCCGGGCCGGGCCGGGCCGCTCATACTGAGATTTTTCCGTTATATTGAAAAGACTCACTTCGCTCGCTGCGCTCGCTCGCTCGTAATAAGTGATTTGAGGGCAAAGAATGCCCGGATTTAAACTTCTAAAATTAATTTGAACATAAAATATTTCAGTTTGAGGGGTGTTAAGGCCTCAAAGAGTAGGTACTTTTCAGGTATCAAATAAGTTCCTCTGCGAAAGTTCCGTCGTGAAAACGGCTGAGGAATCCTATATCTTTCTATTTTAACCCTCGCACGACCAGGCCATTTCTCATAACACGAACGACCAGGGGGGGGGGGTTGTTACGACCCCCCCCCTGGCGTTTCGAAACGGAAGGTCGTAGAGCTTAGCGGAAAAAACCAACGGATTGCTCTCAACGAGATCTCGCGATTGGTGGTATATTTTTTGGTCCTAGGTCAACATTTGACCTACTTTTGACCGGTCAAAGGTCAAATTTTCGGAAAAATAGACTTTTTTCAACTTTCGGCGGCGATTGCGGCAAAACGGTGGGAGATATCGACTTGAAACCTTCACTATCGTGTTCCTTGATCAATTCTCTATCGTTTGGTATGTATTTCGTTTCCCTAGCTCTAAAATGGCGCGTTGGGAGCGCCGGAAGTCGGCAAGGTCACAGTCGGCGGCAGAAATTCGAAAAATCAAAATTTAAATTTGTGAAATCTGATTGTATTTTTGGATTTGGGAGGTCCATTTGCTCCCTATAGAAGCTAATATTGCTGCATATTCCCATTGAGGTGACAAGAATTAGCAAAATAGTGGTTCGGGCGCTTTTCAAAAATAGTACCGGACGCTGTTCCTCTTGTGACGTCATAGCTCCGTGACCTGACCTGACCCGGTCAAATTTCTTATACCATATGATAGCCAATACTTGCCCCAACATGCATGGGAAGTTTCATCACGATCCATCAACCGATGTCCGTACCACCGGCAGGAAACCTCGGGCATTGGCACTCAGTTTGTGAAAATCCGGCCGGAGGCTGTACCTCTTATGACGTCATAACTCCGTGACCTGACATGACCCGATCAATTTTTTTCGGCAAAAGATGCGCAAAGGTTGCCCCAGAGGGTATTGAAAATTTCAGCCCGCTACGACAAGCCGTTTAGCGTGCACTTCGAAAAAACCTCAGGGGGGGGGGGGGGGTTGATACAACCCCCCCCCCCTAGGCGTTCTAGGGTTAAGGTTTATTCTTAATTAATTAAAAAGTGTATTTTGTATTCATCTATGTAAAAAAAAAGATTTAGAGTAGTTTGTTTTTATTTCATAAGTTTCATACATAAACAGCCATTAATTAAAAATGCCGTTCGGTCATTGACCTATCATCAGTGAACTCTCGATTTTTGGCTATGAACCCTCTAGACCTTGTCTTTGCATCTCAGAGAGATGCAGAGATAACAAATTCTTATCTTTGCATCTCAGAGGAGTGCGAGATAGAAATATCCCTGCACTGTAAACCCAATGGCAAATAAACCTCAACTAGAAAGATATCTGTTTCTTTCATAGCACATCGTCAGGTCTAGTATCTAAGATGTGCCTGATCACGAACGATGCACCGATGATATCTATCTAAGCATGAGCCTCAATGCCGAGCTAACACTTGTTAATGTCAATGTTAATGTTGTTAAAAAAGATGAAATTAGCTTACACGAATTATACCGTTTTTCCCACAGGTGCTCACTTTCAACAACGACATCGCCATTTTGACTATCTCCCAGCCGGCGAAATTGTCTGATTGTGTCGGTCCGATTCAGCTTCCGATATCTCTGAGCGGGGACTTGGCCGGGCAGCACGTCAGCATGGCCGGCTGGGGCAGCTCCAGCTTCTATGGTAATTGCGGCGGCACGATGGGAAATAGTGATGTCAATTACGGAAAATCGGAATACCGATACCAAACCAAATACCAACCAAAACCACGGGAAATTACCGAAACCAAACCAACTTAGGAACATGAGGGAAATACCAACTTTTTACCGATTTCTTAGCCTCTTATACATTAGTGAGGGTTTATGATACCAACAAAATACCAAACACATTACGATTGAAATACCAAATACCAAGTTGGTATCGGTTTGGTATCGGTATACCAATAAGTTGGTATCCGATTGACATCTCTAATGGGAAAACTGTAGTGACGGGGACTGGGGTCTGGGAGGCTGTACATTGTAGGAGCTGGAGAAGCTGTAGTGAGAGGGCTGGACAAGCTGTAGTGACAGGGCTGGTAAATCTGCAGTGACAACGCTGCAGGAAGCTATAATGAGGGTGCTGGAATACTGCTGGCATGCTGGCAACATGCTAGCAGCATGTTGGCATACTGGAGGCTGTAGTGACGAGGCAGGGAAAGCTGTAGTGACAGGGCTGGTTACTGGTTAGTATAATGACAAGGTTGGGAAGCTTTAGGTACTGATAGGGCTGGTGAGTCTAATGGCAGGCATGGTAAAGCTGTAATGAAATGACTGGGGAAGCTGCGGTGACTGGGCTGGAGAGTGAGGAGGTTATAGTGACAGAGCTGGGGCAGCTTCATTAATGACAATAACAAGGCTTTGAAAGCACTCTTAGTCTAATGTATAATAGCTACAGTGACATTTAGCTGGTGCAGTGGCAATGGTTGTGGTTGCAATGCAAAATGATCTCGTCTCCGCCATTTTCTTTCAGGTGGGCGCAAGAGTCACGTGCTTTTGGAGGCCACCATTCCGATTGTTTCGGAAGACGCCTGTCGGAAAATATACGAGGCCAACGTCGATCCAGTTATGTTGTCTACCTACTTCCCTGGAGGATTTCTGAAGTCCACAAAGCTGTGTGCTGGCACTGAACAGGGAGACATGGACGTCTGCTCGGTAAGGATCCACTATCTTCTCTGCTGGCCTTCCCCTCCCCTCCCTGAAAAATACCGCACGTGAGTGTTTGGTATGCACCTTGTCCGATAAAACAGGTCTCTTAGCATAAGTCTTCGATGGAAACTAAGTTAGAATCATTAGATATCAATTTTTAAATGTTTCCATTCCAATTAAGTATTCTCTATCTCAAGCCCACATTTTGCGCCCTTGCTCTTTCTCGCGTGCTGCAGATGAATCCGCAAGGAAGAGTCTGTTTGTATTTTTTTATGTGTAGTTAGCCTTATGAAAGTGCAGATCGGCCAGATCAGCCTATGCCTAACCCCTCCCTTATTATCTCTGCAGGGTGACTCAGGCGGTCCCATGGTGCTGCAGCAGAAGGACGGCAGCTTTGTGTTGGTGGGCGTCGTCTCGCTCGGCTTATACGACTGTGGCGTGCCCGGGATACCCAGTATCTACTCTCGGGTCAGCGCCTACCTGCAGTGGATTGCCGGCGTCATACGGGGCTCCAGCAGAGCCGCAGAGCTGATCAGAGCGCTGCTCACCAAATCACAGGTGCCAACAGCTGGCAGCCCGGCCCAGAGGTATACGCCGAGAAATAACGCAATCCAATTGCCGCCGCAAAGGGCAAAGTCGGGGGATTTTCGACACCACGCCCAATCGGCTCGAACACAGACTGCCGCGAAAGGTGCAGGATCAAAAGATCGAACAAGCGAATTCCGCGCCTATGTAGAGTATATTCTTGGAAAAACTGGCAACTTGCCCCACAGATCACGAGTAAAATCAAGACATGGAGAAGCGGCGAGTACGACCCGCGAATCAATTAGTGGCGCAGCATATCAATCGCCCAAGGATCATGCTTATGGGAAAACAGACACCTTACAGGGATCCCGGGCCAAATCGCAAGGCGAACAGAGAGTCGCTGCGGCCTCTTCATCAATAGGAGACGGCTATCTATCTTCTAAAGGACATATCAATGGAAAAACAGGCATAACGACAGAAGGATCTCGGGTTAAAACGCAAGGCGAACAAACAGTTGGTGCGGCCTCTTCATCAATAGGAGACGGGTATCTATCTTCTAAAGGACATGCTAATGGAAAAACAGACGCAACGGCAGGAGGATCCCTGGTCAAATCGCAAGGTGACACAACTCGGGCCGCCTTTGCATCAATTGGAGACGGCTATCTATCTTCTAAAGGTCATATCAATGGAAAAACAGGCATACCGTTCCAAGGCTCCCGGGCTCAATCGCAAGGTAAGACTGTTGGTGCGGCCCCTGGATTGATAGGAGACGGCTACCTATCTTCTAAGGGACATGCTAATGGAAAAATAGGTGCAACAGCAGAAAGGTCCCGGCTCAAATCCCAAAGAGAGGGAGCAGTCGGCGCGGCCGGCGCATCCGTAGAAGCTGGTTATCTTTCTCCTAAAGATCCTGTCAATGGAATAACGTCACACGAATCGCAGGCAAAAGTGGGCAGTGGACAGGCAGTCGGTGTAACGGTAGCAGATGAAGGAGACATTCATCGATCACTTACGACGAGCTCGCAAGCTCAGCAAAAGCGATCAGGAGCCCTGGATGCCGATCATTCCATCGAGAAAAAGCACGCCAGCCGTAAGCTGTATTCACCGCGTGAGGCATTGGCTGGGTCGTCGGTTATACTTGATCAAGGAATAGGATTTGTCGACAACAGGGTCAAGCTCAAGACAAAGAATGTCGCTCATGCTGAACAAGTAGAGATTGGAAGGCAACAAGGTATTGCGACAAAGGAACTTGGCATCGTGTCACTTCGACAGAAAATTGCGACATCTTTTGATGATCTGAAAGTTCAAGATAAAGAAGCCACAGTCTCTGATCTGGCAACGGATGGCAATGCTGGTACGAGGGTGGGTGCTACTGAGCTGGATAAATCTAGCTCTGTGAAAACCTCGGCTGGTCAAGCATCCCAGAACAAACCTGCTTCAATATTACAACATAAAGTCGGTTCAACTTCACAGACCAGAGATCGTCCAAAGTTCCAGCCCAAAACAACTCCAACAGTTCAGCCTGCAGTCATTCCAACATCTCAACCCACACGCTATCCCCCACCGCCGCCCTCACCCAGTCCAACAAAGCCGGCAGAGCAGAAAACCTGGCAAGAGTTGTTGAAAGACGTCATGAAAGAATAGCGTAGTAACCAGCGCTGATGCATTTTGGTTTCGGTAACCTAGAGCATACCTGACATCCTTCTCAATGCACACACAAATGGAAAGTCTTTGTTTGGAGTGAGGTGAGTGCACCTCCAACAAGCGATATGGACTGGAAAGGGCTGTTCAAAATATACGAATACAGTTTGGTTATATTCTATTGTATTGTGCTAAATAAATGTCCATACCCTGTGGTGTTATGTGGAGACCTCATGCCAAAATACATTCTACTCCGTCGAGTAAGACGTCAAAGGACGATGCGCTAGCCTTTTTTTTTGTAGTGACCATCCCATCTTAAGCGACGTAATCAAGACCCGCGTCGTTATCGGCCGTTTCAAGAATAAAAGATTAAATATTGTCAATGTTGACGGTAATGAAAGCACATATCTAAGTTACTGGATAACCAAAGTGATCACGTTAGACATGCTTCTGTTGTTTTCAAACCAAACCAATAGTTGCAAAAGCTTGCATTCCTTTTATTTGTTAATTCAAGTAAGCGAATGTGGCAATGTCCTTCGGCACTCGGCATCGTGTCGCGTTGGCATACCTGTTGTCTCATAACAGAGCAAGAAAATACAAACCACATGTTTGTAAGTGTTTTTATTTTAGTGTATGTTTTATGTGTGAAACATGCATTGACTACGTTTCCATGGCACAAGTTAAGCCGATTTTGAAAAAATGGATTTGCTCCATCATAGCATTTACTGTTAACGCCAGACCCCTTGAGACCCTATTTTTTCGCGATTATTTTTAAATGCGTGGAAGAATTTCAACCAAACTCAGGACATGGCCGTTTCAAGAACTGCCGAAACTTTTACAATTTAGGTATTTTATCGCCATTTCAATATTTCAGGCACTTCTCATTGACTCGTAATGTTAAATTTCGAGCAAGATTTTCACCCGGTGTGTAGGGGAAGGAGGGTGAATTGCGCCACCTTAAAGAAAAACGCTAATTGTAAGAAAACTGTTGGAGATATAAGCATGCACTGGTAACCATTTCAAAGAGGAACTCATTGGCTACGATTTAAGAGCCTCCCGATCAATTAAGAATGTTTCGTTTGCTTCTGATAGCTGCTTTTTCAGAAACATACAAAAGGGCGCATTGGCCGACAACTGCTGTAAATTGCGCCGGGGGATGGCGCAATTAGAACCCAATTGCACCCTATACTTTAACATGGCTAAGCGAATGAGACGGAATGCATACACAACCCGGCAGTGTAATGTCATTACGGCTTACTTTAACATTCATAATGCTATTCACGCTGGTTGAATAATAAATGTAGGTGTAAATCGTGGTGTTTTGCCCAGGTAGATAACTTACATGTGTCCGTACGCTTGTACAAGTGCAACGAAAACGTTTACTGTAACCGACTAGATATATGTAAACGTATGCGCCTATACGGTTACATTTTCAATCGTTTCTCTCAAAATTGATAATTCTTATCGTGTCGACAGCTTTATGACATCAGTTTTTACTTTTTTTGTCATAGCTGTCACCTCTCTCGCCTGAGTCCATGTTGAAAATGTCGTATTTTGTCAATCACACCACAAGTTCGTAGCATAAATGGCAGCTGCATTTTAAGTTTGACGAGAGAAATATATTTTGCGGACTGACGACAGCGGGTTGCTCCCCTGCCTCACATTAAACTCCTTCTTTATTGCAATCAGTTAATGATGCATTCATACAGTCGTGATACAATAGCTGCACCATTATTCTATTTGCGCCCCCGTGGCGCAATTGCCATGTGCGCAATTAAAATTGAGGTACTTTTTAATAAAAGCGTAGAAGTTATCAAAATAAAGCGTTATAGTTATAAAGATGTTGAAGGAAATTACCTGTTTTAGTGAAATATAATGTAAAAAGGGGTTTTCTTTCTAAATATCACTCTGAAAATCACACAAATATCACAAATTTGTATAGCCAACGGTTCAAAATACTGCAAAAAAGCTAAGAAAACGCCGTAACATCTTTGATGGCGTAATGAGCCCTTGCTGATTGGCTTCATCGGAGAGCTTGGGCCAGAAAAGTAACTATCTAGTGGGGGAAATAATGTTTTCGAACACAAAATTCAAAACATGTCATTGAATCCGTGGGAATGTTGGTGGGCGCAATTGGTTAGGAGGGCGCAATACACCCACTTTCCCCTAGAGGCTATCACCAGTCGGCCTGTGATACGGTATGACGTCACAGCTAAGCCCCGCCTCTGTGGTCTTGGCCTGCGGCGGTTTCGGGCCGGCGCGCGGTCACTCTCGCTGTGGCGGGGAGCGGGGACGGTCGAGCGGTGCCGAAAGCCGGCGGAGTTGTGCGTAACGTCTTGTCTGACATTGCCCAAAGAGCGACATGATGACTGAGGAGCCATAAATGCTCAATGCGCATTGCTTGTACAATGCTGATATGTTCGCTGATATTTGCTTTATTTTTTATAAGCTGCAAATGACGTGCAGATGGCATATAACTGACATAAGGTTAGGAAATATCCACCTGCAGGTATCTAAAGCCTATGGCGTTGCAGATAATGCGATAATGGGATGTCGGATGTCACCAAGTGGCTGCCGATTTGTATATCGCTATGCAACCATCGAACAACGCAATAATAAGATAATTGCCTTCGGTTCACATCATAAGGCTCGCTCGTATTTCAAACAGATAGGCATCCTACATCGAAAATCGTATTTGTTAGGAATTGTTAACGTTTGTTCGAAGCACGTGTGAGTAGTAGGTTGAGGAGTGATGGTCCTCTTGGTCCTATATACAAGAGTCAACAAGAACCTAACATTTACTTGACCGTCTGCTGCAATTGATTCATAGCACGTGAAGCGTCAGCGAAATTCATAGTCCTTTACAGATGGCAGGGGTGTCGTTTGTACAGAGGTCGCTGATGGGCACGGGTCAATGCCGCAGTCGTGGGCGGAGCCTAATGTCATATGACGTATGAAAGCCTCTATCCAGGATGGAAACGATAGGCGTTATCACAAGTGTATTCGCGGCCATTGGGGCGACGTAAGAAAAGAAGAAAACAACTGGCCCCAAGAACTTTAAATTATCAAATAGCATGCACCTTTTCCTTGATATGTAGAGAATTTACCATTAATTGTTAGAGAAAATTGCATTTAAAATCTTCCATTTATGCTTTTTTCATCGTTTGCACAGTATGTTCTTTTACTGAGCTAGAAACACTAATTAGAAATAGTTCCCGCATCGTCAAGAACAATAGGGAAGGCTTGAAGTGAATACAATAATCTAAACGGTTTTGTAATCCATGTGAAGACACTTCTAAAATTGCATGTAGAAATATTAAAGGCAAAAGTTCAACTTTTTCACAAGACGGATGGGTATAAACCTATTCAACGTGTGACAACTCAGCCGGTATATCGTCGCCTACATCCCAGCTTTCCATAGTGACCGATAGAGGCGCTGCTATCGATGTCCGCCCATGCCGCCTAACGAAGCAGTTAACATTACGAGTCAATGACAAGTGCCACAAATATCTAAGTGACAACAAAATGTATTTGAAGAAAAAGTTTCGGCAGGTCTTGAAACAGCTACTTCCTAGATATGGTTGAAATTATTCCACGCATTTAAAAATAATCGCGAAAAATTAAGGTCTCAAGGGGTCTGGCGTTAACAGTAGGTGCTAGCTAAAACCATATATACGCTCATTTTTTGCATAAGGCAAATAGTTTCCGAGAAAAACGCACGTGAAATTTCGCTAAATCGATTTAGACGTGTCATGGAAACGTAGTGATTATCACTGCGCGTTCTTGCCTTACCAAATTTATTACTTTCCTTCTTTTCTACTCAACCCGCATCGCTAATTACCCTTCGCGACTCCTCTTTCCCTGTCCCACTGCATCTGTCCCCCCCCCCTGCGGTGACCCCTTGCCGTCCCTGCGCGCCCGTCTATCGGCCGGGGCTGGCACACCTACCTCAGTGCGTGCCGTCTACCGGTGCCGGGCGGACGTGTCTCTCCCCCTGCGCCGTCGACACCGACACCGACGACGACGACGACGACGAGGAGGCGGCAACGACGTGCCAGGTACGGTCCCGCCGGCGGCCGTGAGGGCCGAGCCGGGTTGAGAGCGGAGAGGGGCTTGTAGATGAGGCACGAGCGAGGGTGGCGATGGAGAGGAAGTCAGTTAGGTACTCTCAGGGTGACTGCGGAAAGGGTATGAGTGGATGAAGGGACGAGCCAGGGGGAGAGCCGAGTGGGCAGGGGCTCTGTCGATAAGGGCCGAGGCAGGGTGAGAAGGAAGAGGGCGTCGGCCGGTGAGGGACGAGCCAGGGTGAGAGGGAAGAGGGTGCCGATGAGGGACGAGTCTGGGAGAGGGAAGAGGCAGATGGATCCTCCTCTGGGTCAGATGGGTGCGCTCACTGCTCTGCCCCTGCCGCTCTGCCTCTGTCACTCAGCCTTCTCCCCCCGGCACCAATGATAAAGTACGGCCATCGACTAGACACAGACGGTGCCTGACTTTTGATACGGCCATATCCCCGATTAACATGATCGTTAGCAGGTTCATTCAGCGTGCTTTTTATATATTTTATTTATCAGCACACGCATTGAAATGGAACGCATAATTTCTTTACTAAATATGCCCATCAGACATTAGGAGACTAAGAAGGGCTGACCATCTTTCCCCTTTGTTTATAGGCACATTCCCCCCAAAAAAGGCATCAAAAAACGGCCGGCAAAACAATACATATAAGCCTTATGTCCAAGAAAATCATTTGAAGTATGTCCAGCCAACAGATGAAATTATTCGTTCGGATTTAGTTAGGGTTGCTGGTTTAACCCGCGCCCTGGTGGGGTCTGTTTATAACGCGACCTGGTGGGAGGGGGGGGGGGGCTATTTTTTGCCCCCCCTCGTATCTCCGAAACTACTGGACGGATCCGAAAAATTCAAACGGCGTTCGAAAGGCCTGTCAAATTTGTCGAGGGAAACCAAATTTTATTGACCTCGGGGTCACCGATGACGTCACAGGTCAGGTCAAAGATGAAATGTTTCACCGTTCACGGGTCTTCTAGGGAATGCGCTATAACACCGAGGAAAACGCATTTTGTCGGGAATCAGCGATAGGGCGTCAGTTGCCTAGTAGATATGTTGCTGTTAGAGGTCACTGGTCATACCAGGTCAGGTCACAGGTCAGGTCACCAAAGGTCACCAAGGGTCACCACATGAACCCAACTTTACTAAGGTTATGCGATGCATGTTTTATGGCCAGTTTTTCATTTCCAACTCAATGGTGTTGGTTATAAGACCATCAGGTACGGTTTAGGTCACTTTCTGGTGGAGGTCAGGTCAAGGTCAGGTCAAAAAAGGTCAAATTTCAAAGTTGATATTTTTGCATAAAATGGGTATTGATTCGATGCAGCTCGTCACGGGGAGTCTAATGGTGGTCTTTGTTTTGCGCTACGAGGTCTAGAATTGCTGAAAATTGAGTTTGAAAATTTGACGTCATCAATTTTGAACAGTTTTTTCGCTATAACTTGGCCAAAAAAAGAGGTATCGATCTCAAATTTGGTATATAGATAGAAGGCGGTAAGGACTAACACATATATTCCGGTTTTTTTTCGAAATTCAAAAAACTTTTTGGATTTTTTGGCTATTATATTCAAAAAATCTATTTTTTTATTTTTGGGGGTCAAAATCCAAAAATTCAAAAAATCCGAGATAACAGTTTTGTAGCCCTGTCTATTCTACAGCTTTTATGTCCGTATCATTTTTCTGTATTTGCAAAGCTCTAGGCCTGACAGCTCTTCCCGCGAAACCTTTTTTTGGGTCGAAAACGGCAGAACATGACGTCACTCTGACGTCATTTCCGGCCAACCTATCATAGCATTTTGAAAAATTTTTGGTCACAATGTGTAAAATTGATGTCCGAGAGGGTACTGAAAGTTTGGTGACGATCGGCGCAGTGGTTCTGGAGATATATCGAAAAGTCTGGAGGGGGGGCAAAAAATAGCCCCCCCCCCCACCAGGTCGCGGGTTAAATGAGCAATTCCAAATGAAACGTTTGATACCGGAACTATTTTCAAAAATGATATTTATGTTGTTAAAACAAACTCAGCTAACTTTGCTATTTTATGCAATTTAATCCAAAACACCGGCTATGGTAAAATGATTTTAAAAGATTGTTAACCCGCGCCCCGTAGGGCTACCGGCGGACCCTACCACCCGTAGGGGGGGGGGCCGTTTCGGCCCCCCCCCTAAGATCTCGGAAAGTTACCGGCCGATTTTCGAAATTCAAACGGCGTTCGATAGCCCCACCCGGGAACTACCTTGTGACCAAATTTCATTGACCTAGGTCAAACCGATGACGTCACAGGTCAGGTCAAGGTCAGATTTTCACCGTTCACAGGCATTTCAAGAAATGTGTTGTGAAATCGAGTTAATTGGTAATTTATTGAAAACCATCGATGGTACATTGTTCGTCAAACACATACTTTGCTCTCTGAGGTCACTGATACCAGGTCAGGTCACAGCGAGGTCAGGTCACCGGGGTCACAATATGAAAGTGTCGTGTGATACATGTTTTATGGTCCATTTTACATGACAAATGCGATTATGTGGGTTAGGCAGCCTTTGGGGCCAGCCTAGGTCACGTTTTGGTGAAGGTCAGGTCAAGGTCAGGTCAAATTAGGTCAAATTTCAAAGTTGATATTTTTGCATAAAATGGGTATCTATTCGATGCAGCTCGTCACGGGGAGTCTAATGGTGGTCTTTGTTTTGCTCTACAAGGTCTAGAACTGCCAAAAATTGAGTTTGAAAATTTGACGTCATCAATTTTGAACAGTTTTTTCGCTATAACTTGGCCAAAAAACGAGGTATCGATCTGAAATTCGGTGTGTAGATAGAAGACGGTAGGTACTATCACATATATTCCGTTTTTTTAAACTCAAAAAACTTTTTGAATTTTTTGGCTAATATATCAAAAAAAATGTTTTTTTATTTTTGGGGTTCAAAACTCAAAAATTTCAAAAATCCGAGATGGCAGTTTTGTAGCCCTGTCAATTCTACACCTTTTATGTCTTGATCATTTTTCTGTATCTTCAAAGCTGTAGGCCTGACAGGTCTTCTCGCGAAGGTCTTTATTCGGTCGAAAATGACAGAACATGACGTCATTCTGACGTCATTTGTGGCCAACCTATCATAGCCTCTGGAAAATTTTTGGTCACAATGTGTAAAATTGATGCCCGGAGGTGTCCTGAAAGTTTGGTGGCGATATCTGAAGCGGTTTAGGAGATATCGACCGAAAAGGACAGGGGGGGGGGCCGTTTCGGCCCCCCCCCTACGGGGCGCGGGTTAAAAATATCTGCTTTTTTGTTAAAAAACTATTTCTCTGAAAATTAAATAATGATACGAAATAGAACAGGTATTTTTGCTGTTTAAAAGCAGACATTGGTGCGTCACTCATTCGTTCATTTTCCGTGCATCCTGCTAAAACGTTACGGCGCTAGTTCAACATGTCTAGTTTTAACGACCCAGATGAAAAGTCGTGATTATGATACCCGTCAGGCTTACCGCCCTGCATGGTCCAGGCACGCAGCCCGTGACGTGTCTCACGAACGCACCAATTCAACTTAATCTCGGCAGCAGTCGCGCTCTCAGATTCCCTCATTCTTCTTCAGAACAACTTTCAAACGATTGAAATTAGGAGTCTCTCCTCATAAACGACCGACATTTCGACTTATCGGGGCAGCTCCGTGTGCCTGCTAAGCTCTCGATCAGGCTCCTAAAACAAGACTCCGGATGACAGCCGGTATGGGCCTGGCGAGATGACACACGAACGGTGGGCACAGCGGTCGGTGGGCACAGCAGAGAGGGCCGTAATGACGCGTCAGGGGGCAGATCCCTTTGACGGCTCAGCGCTTCAGTTTCCACTACGGGAGATGTCCGAGCCAATGGGAAGGCTGTGTGGCTTGTGGTGCCTCTTCATCTTTGTGTGACTGACAACAGGGCTCCATGCCGTGAGACGTCAGGGTGCCGCACAAGGTAAGGTAACGTCAGGACGTCGTCCCATGAAACCAGTAACGTCAGGGTGACGTTTCGTGTGACGTCAGGGCGTCTTCGTGTGACGTTCGCGGGCGTCTTCTGAAGTTTTTACCCGACATCTTGGCACCGACAATCGACATGCGTCCTGCCAGCCATGCGATGATGCTATGTTCTTTGTAGACTCGACAATATGCAAAGGTTATGCGCTGATGCATTATGCTGATCTATAAACACCATTAGCCACACTAGCTCCGTAATGCAATACCCGCCTGCCCGCCTTTCGTTTGGCGTAATCCGGGTCGCACATATTTGCAATGTGATCAGGGCAGATTTCGGTTTTTGCTGTATGTCGGTGACGTCACTTCGTTAGTTCATCACCAGATGGCTCAATAATGAGGTCTAAAACACTTACTGCGAGTGCTAGGTGTCAGAAATGCGTGCAACTTAAGACAATTATTAGGGGAAGATGGGGGAACACCGACCCCTTAACCTTTATCCCTCGCCCTGGCAGGGCATTTTTCATAACACGGCCTGATAGGGGGGTCGATGCGACCCCCCTCGCGATTGGCTCCTATGGCACCTAGAAACACCAAATTTGGTAGGTAGGTGGGCCCCCTGGAGTTCTCTCCCCTGTGCAAATTTGGTAGCTCTAGGTCAATATTTAGGTTTTTTTTGGGGGGTATAAATGTAAAAATTTCGCTAAAAACAGGTCAAAAGTTTTTCGCTTATAACTTTTGATCTAATTAAGATAGAGCAAAAAAAAGCACCAGTGAGCTCAGCACGTCAAGGCGCGTCGAATGATATACTTTTTAGCTTGCTTAAGTGTACTTAAAGTTTTTCTTTAATTTTAAGTAATCTTAAATTAATAAATTAAGTTCAAGTTAACTAAATTGCATCATATCACATATCATTCGATTCGGCTGATCGCCAGGAACACAATGATACCATTTTTTAAGCTCTAGCGTCATTATGTGCCAAGTTATTGGCAAAAACGTCATTTGACCTCAGTTGACCTCATTTGACCTGACCCATGGATAAGTACACC